GTGAAAGAAAAACAATTCCGAGCATCAGAATAAATTCTTGGAGAAATTGAGGGAAAAATGACGATTACAAAGGAATAAAATGAAGGAAAATACACGAAAAAGCAAAGACAAGTGAAAAAAAATCACAACTGAAGGAGAATCGAACCCGCGATACTTCACGATCTTGTGCTAAATTCTCTTATATGGAATTTCTTCATATCTCTCTAAGTAGACGATTGCGAAGACACAATTTCTAGTTAGTTTTTGAGGGAAAGAATATTTCGAAAAATAGATGGGAATAGAAAGGAATGGATTGTGGAATATTATGGAATTTTTACGAATGGAAACCACTTGAGTAACCCTTGTTAAAAATGGATTCTTTCTTTCTTTCTCTCTTTTCAACAGGAGGACATCAAACAGAGTATCGACACACCACTAGCCATGATTCTAATTCTCTTTCTTTCTCATTAAGATGTTTTTCTTCAATGTGTGTTAGTTTTTTTTCTTCTAAGCCAGTTGTGAAGTGATAGTGAAAAACTCAATCAATCATTTTTTCATTGCCTTTCCAACCAGTGTCTTTTTGACTTACAGAACTGTAACCATTTCGCATTGATGCCGGTAGGGTTGATGTTTTGAAACCATATCCTGGCTTTGGCGGTGATCGATACGAGTGTATCGCTAGAGTTTATCAATTGATATCAAAAACTTTATCGTCTCTCTCTCAATGTTTCTAACTAATTACAAGATATTTTCTAATGTATTTTTCCAGTCAATTTGGCAAATAAAATAAATTATATTATTACGTTAATGTATAATTGAATTGAGAAAATAAGTTTTTGAACAAAATCCACTTGTAAATTCATCTCTCAACTTACCATTGTAACTTGGTGCACTGCCAATTGCACGACCAACTGAGCCACGGTAACTCGTACTTCGATCAAATGTCGTTTCATCATCGTAAAACGGTCGAGGATGATCCAGATTCCTCGATGGTGAAGCACCAACTGGGGATTCATATCTAACACCAGAGAAATACATCAATTAGGAATCAATTCTATGCACAAATTGCTGTAAAAATAATGCAGCAATTCCCAATAAAACTGTTAAAGAACTGTTAACAAGTGCTTTGAAGGATAATTTTTGGTTTATCACGAATTAAAAATGATCTAATCAAACTGTTTTTGTTGTCATTTGCTCCAAATGGCACTAAAATCAATCTCTGAACCTCCAGAAGTTGTTTCAACGCAGCCTTTAAAACTCCCTAACACTGTTTTAGTGAAAATAACAAGGACTGCTTTTCCTTATTCAGGTTTCAGTGGGAATTCATCCAAAAAATCGCATCACCTCAATTTATAGAGTGGCTCTTTGGAAGCTGACGGAGTCCTGGAAGCATTCCTCGGATCCAAGTGCTGCTGCTTCCACTTTGTATGTCTAGCGTGTTCCTTTAGGTCCTTGAGAATCACAGCCCCCATCCCAGAATTCATCTTGGCCAGCTCCTCCTCCTCCTTCTTCAAGCGTCTGCTGAGAGAGAAGAGGAAATTATGTTAGACTTCTAATGCTTCAATCGCTTCAATAACAAAACAATTTTCATTACATAAGACTCGGAAATTTACAAAAACTGACCAAAGTCAGCACTTTCAGCGTGATAAAACCTATGTGAAATCTTATCAAACCACCCAAAGTTATACAGCGTGTGAGATATGAGTCTCTTGATGACCTTTAGAAAAATCATAATGTCGCGAACACTTTTCAAATCCACTCATTGAAGTGTATTTTATTCGATGAGTTAACATTTTCCCAAGTCTTTGTATTTGTGTGTCTTAGAGAAAAAGTCACTCTTTCAAAATGCAAATAAATTGAGCACAAACATCCAATAAATATTCCCTCAGCGCCTACACAAAAGAAATGCCACTCAACGACTCAAAACACCACGCAAAACATGTATTAATTCCACAAATAGCACGGCGAATTCATTGAAAAAACTGCACTCACTCCGCTTTGCTGTTCGCAGCCGCCGTTGCGTCGGTTTCGTCCTCATCATCAGACACCGGAACGCCCTTGTACGAGTCCGAGTAGCGACGCCTTCGCTCCGGGTCTGTGTAAGGATATGGCGGTGCTGGGAAATCATCCCTCTCAATCTTCGGCTTCTCACCCGGCGGTGGCTTCTTGGCGCCCGGATAGTGTGACAACTCAATTGGCTCCTCATTGTTCATTGCTGGACTCTTGGGACGCGGCGTTTCCGTTCTGATGGAATCCACGAGCACCTTCATGGCACTCTTGTTGCGCGAATGAGGCCTGGACGATGGCATACTGATCGTGCCGCCGCTGGCCGAGTGGGGCCGATGGAAGTGCGGCGACACGGGCGTCTTATCGTACGGATCAATGGGCTTCTTGAGATAGTGCGGCTCATCCGTTAAATAGCTGTACGTGTAGATCCGTGAGATATCTTCATACCCATAACCATGTCGACCGTATTCACGCAACATCAGTCCCGGACTTATTGTGCGATGATACTGAAATGAGACAAAATTCACATAAGTATTTGTCTGATAATCTTTTCTGCGAAGAGAAAAACATGCACAGAACATTTAATTATTATCAACAACACAGTAAAACACAACAAACTCAGATCTTATATGATGGTTTCTTCCCTTTGGATTTCTGTTCTTTGGCGCAACAATTTAGGGGAAAATGGGGCGCAGCACTGACTGGAAAATGCTAGTTTATCATTGTGAAGATTAACAATCGTCAACTTTTAAACAAGAGGCAAGTCACAAGGAGATTTTTGAGAAAACTTAATGTTCTCTAATTAAATAATCAATTATTTGAGTAAAATAATCAAAAAATAATTATTTTCCTAAGTAAAATTGAAAAATAATCAATATCTGAATTAAATATAATAAAAAAAAGTTATTATTTTCAATCAGAATATTCTGAATATTCACAATTTTTCAATTATATTCAAATTTTGATTAAATATTCAGGAAATAATCAAAAAATAATCAAAATTTGATCAATAATAACCAATAATCAAAAAAATTATTGATGGGCTTAACTTGCGAGTGACTGTTCTCTTGCTTTTAAAGTTCTGTGAGTGATTTTCCACCGTTTTCTCTTTATCACAACTGTAAAAATCCCATCCAGAATGTTGTTCGCATTCTTTGTTTAATGATCCGCATTGATCATTCTAACGTCAGCACAATCTTCCTTCTTATTGACATTTCTATGTCGCGATAAGAGGATGTGCAGAGCCTCGAATGCTTCTAGTTTTTTATTACCCATGCAGTAATTTGAGTTTGAGGTCAATTCTGGAATTGATTTGATTGACTGACCAAATTCGCCCAAAAGATTCTCCATTGTAAGTCGAATTCCCTATTGAATCAAGTCCTGCCCAATTGGTATCCCTGGAGAACTTAAGGCGCAAATGCCACTGTCATGGCGACCTTCTCCTCCTGATGAGATTCTCGCTGTATTATTTGACACGGAGAAATGCACGATTCAGTCAGTCGTGTCATGATTGCGGAGCAGTGCTTGATTAATAAGCTTGAAGGAGGGAAAATCTTCCGAAACGTTGTAAGAAAATAAATCAAGTGCTTAAGAAAATCGTCAATTCTGTCTTTTGAATCAAATCCAATTCTAGATTAAAGCTATAATATATGAAATAATCGTCGTGATCGACGGAATCCCGTGGTCAGCGCTGCCCCACTTTTCCCTACAGAAGATGACAGAAAGTAAGGAGAAAAAGGCTCTCTTCATACTAACCTTCCTACTCGTGTACGGAGTGTTAAAGAGTGAGCCACTTGGCGTACGTGAACCAATAGAGTACTGAAAGTAAAATAAAGAAAAAAAAACACAACACACAAAAATGCAAAACATATTAAAACATGCTGATAGCAAAATTATAATTAAATTGATAAAATATATTTCTTGGTAAAGAGATAAAATTAAAATTGAAAAACATCATTATAAAATGCCACAACATCGAGAACAAGGAGTAAAAACTGATAAAAGATTCTCTGTCTTTCTAGCTTAACAAACTAACGATATTTTCCTTACCTGCAATTCACTCATTGCACTTGTGCTCATCCGATCACACTCCGTGTCAGTGAAGTGACCATTTGTGCCGTTGAGAACAGTTCCTACGTCAGCTCCTGGACCAGGACCGCAGCGCGGATGCCAAATGGCGCTGCCCTGCAAGTACATCTCCTCGCCATCCCCAAACGGATCGCCACACTTTGTGCACCTGGCGCACGTGGGATGGAAGTGATGATTGTCTCCGGCCTGCAACACTTTGCCACTGATGTAGCGATTGCAGTAGGCACACTTGACGCCGAAAGACTTCTGATAGCACTTCTCGCAGTACGGCACCGAATCCTTGCCCATGTACTCCCCATTTAGCACTGCGCTGCAACTTTTACACCTGCCAAGGGAGAAACGCCAAGAGATTCATTAGAACATGAGGGAGATTTCTGGGTCAAAATACACACATTCAATCATCGTGTTTGCTCTGTTGTTGCTAAAGCAGCCTCTCTTCTCAAATGGTATTTATCATTCAAATTCCATCGCAATAAATAATAAATTCAATTATTAGCAAAGTCAATAGAGTGAAAAGAGGCCCGAATGAATGGAGAGAGAGAGTCTATAGAACCAAGATACAGGAGTAAAACAACAGAAAGTTTACCGAAATAGACATGAAAGAGAACAAACTGATAAAGGAGGCAATTTCTTCTCCAAACACTGAATAAATACTGAATCACACACACACTGTTCAGCCAAACTCATGTGCGAAATTCGTAATTAGCAGAGTTTCAGCACAGAATTCCAGACTTTAATCGACGGGTGAATTAAATCGACACTTATTGATACAAATTGCCTCTTTTAAATACAGTTTTAGAGAAAAATTAGCCAAAATCAACAGTCTAAGGACTAATTAGTCCAAATCAGTTCTGTTTTCTCACAAAAATTTTATTAAAAAATAAGAAAATCCCATGCGATTCGTATCGATAAGTGTCGATAAATGTCGATAACTTGAAAAACTCTTGATATGTTCTGTTACTAAAGAAATTTAAAGAGTTTTAGACTTTCAATGAGACTAATATTTGATGCATTTTTAATTTTTTAAGTATGAAAAATTGAATTTTTACAATTTATTTGAATAAAATGTACTCAAAGATTATTTAAAATCGACTTTTGGTAACAAATATCTTCAATTTGTCTATTAACTTTGCCATATTTCAGTGAAAATTCCAATAAAATCAATTGGAAAATTCACATTAAGACTTTAATGAACGCAATTTTACAGTTTCACACAAGAAAGAAGAAGCACAGAGTCTTCTTCCATTATTTCCTCACCTGAAGCACCACACGTGCCACTGGCGATCGAGAGCAATGAGCGCCTGGCCCTCCTTCAGCTGATCCCCACAGCCGGCGCACTCATTGGGATCGTACTCCGTGGAGTTGTTCACGCGCCGCGGAACTTCCTGCTGCTGACTGGCCGCGGTGGCGCGCGTGGGGCTCATGGTGATCTCCCTGGCCGCGGCGGATGGCTGTGGTGATTGCGGCTTCTGCGACTCGGCGCGCGATTGATGAGTGGCAGTGACTTTGCTGGACGCCGGATTGGACACGCACGTCTCGCAGAGCACCTCCTTTCCCGTGTTCGTCACCTTTCGGACAATCAGCCGTGAGTAAAAGCAGGGAAAGAGAGACAATTTTTGCATAAAAAGTAACTTCATTCCATGAAAGAAATAGCCAAAAAGCAGAACAAATTGCGTGAAATTTTGCACAAATTCTTGGAATGAACAGACTCTTGAATTTAAAGAGGATTTAGTCACCTTGCTGCCGGACTGGAAGGACTTTTTACAGCCGCTGCACACGAAGCACTTCTGATGATATGTCTTGCCCATCGTGGACACCACCTCGCCCTCCACGTACTGTCCGCAGGCGGCGCACTTGGTGCCGTAGAGCTTCTGGTAGTCTAGCGTGCAGAAGTACGCGCCATCCTTGGAGAAGAAGCCGCCAGTGGCCAGACTCTTGCTACATGTTGTGCACTGGAAGCACGTCTTGTGGAAATACTTGTCCGTCACTCGCAACACCTCACCGGAGCACTTCTTTTGGCATTTGGCGCAGTAAATCTTTGTCTTCCCTGCAAAGCACAATCGTAAGCAAAAATCCATCGTAAGATTATATTGTTGGGAATTATTAATTAAACTCCAGCAAAACACGCAATTTTGGAGAGATTAAAAACCCCCTCACGAAACCACACTTTAAATGGTAGACTTTAAAAAAAACCTCCTAATTTTCATCTCAACACAGGGTGAGCAAGAAAATTATGAGAATATTTCCACAGTTAATAAAAAAACATCTCCCAAAATGTATTTTTGCCCAATCAAAACATACAAAAAGGAATTTGAAAAGGTGATTTTGCTGAAGATGAAGAACAACAGAGCAAATTACTCAGAAAACACCCAAAAGAACACTCAATTTGCCTCCCAAAAGACATAAAAATTCATACACTTCGCATTGCTGACGAGCCAAAATACACACAATAGAAGAAATTCGGTCAAATTCCTTGACATTTTCTCATATATCTTCGCCATTGTCTTCTTCTCTTTCGCTCTGCCTATGTTCAAATGCCTTTATTTTCTCCAGTCGAGGCGCGCTTCGTCATATTATTGTTTATTATGTTAAATAAAGAAGGTCAAGAGTCAATAAAACTATTTCATTTTGATTGTGACTCCTTGTTAATTCAATACGAAAATACAGAGATAATGAAATTTGAATTGGAATTTCTCATTTGCATTCAATCAACAATCATTCAAATGGTCACTCGTTCAATTTTTCTCTCTCTCTCTCGCGTAATTGAGAGAAAAACTCTCTTTCACTGATTCGTGATCTCATTAAAAATCACGTCTTTTCCTTTGCGCACTGTTCTTTCTCTCTTTGGTAAATGTCTTCTAAAGAACCGTCCAAGAGGCGCGAGAGAAAATAAACAAGAAAAGCAATTGCAAGAAGATTTACTCGAAGAAATTCCTTCACCATTAAACCCGAAGAGAGAAACGTGTTGTCTTATTGGTTTAAAGGACAAATAAACAATTATTATTATCATCGAATATCTCGATCGACATTAATATTATTTGAATATAACTCAAGGCGACTCGTGTAATTTGCAATTTCCTCAGAATCCAACACATTCCCACAGCGTGTTTGATCCATTTAGTGACCTCTTCTTCTTCCTCGCCATCGACATTGGGTTCCAGCCTTTATTTACAATCCCAGCCTGAAATGCGAGAAGAGCGCGAGATATAAAGTGCGCTCGATGTTGGCGAATGCGGAAATGAACACAAGACGCCTCAATGTCTGACTAGGAATCGATCCGTCCACTAACAAATTCGCCCTCTTCACCCCCTTTCCACCCCTCCGGCACGAACGCTCTCCATCTCCCTCTCTCCCCAGTGTCCAATATATTTTCTCGCATTCCAGCCACCTTTTCCCGCCGCACCTCCGCGACCGGGCGCAATAAAATATCGTGCAACAAATCCAGCAATGTGTGAAGGGCAGTGAGACAATGTTAAAAGCCTCTCTCTCTCTCTCTTCAGCGCCGTTTGCGTACAATCCTCATGCAAAAGAACACGCCAGTTGAGAATGGGAATTGTTAGGGAAAGAATACAGAAAAACAGCCATTGATCCAGACAAGAGTGAAGGAAATATTCTAGAGAACAGAAACTCCAACTTCAGAACATTGACATTGAAAGCTTTTTATTCAAAAATCAAGAAATCGAGCAACAGTAGACAAATTTTCATGAATTGTAGCGTAAAAACCATGGAAAGCTATCGTCAATGGGCGGAGCGTGCGAGTGGGCGGAGTTTCTGAACAATTTATCACTGCTTTATTGGTTAATTTGACCACTGAATTGACTTTCAATGAAGATTTTGACATCTCATGGTTTGTTATTTGTTTATTTATGACTAAAATTAACGTTCTTCTCTCGCAATTACATTATTTTTCCATGTTTTATTGACATAAAACATAAGCATAGCGATAATTGGTGACTTTTATGAGGTGTTTAAACACTTCTTCAAATCTAATTTGGCTCATATTATGTAAATTATCTGACTTTTAGTTAAATTTTCATGTAAATTTCTTCAACATTTGACTCAACAGATTCTCCAGATCATCCCCGCTCTCCCCTTAATATCATTCACAATCGCACAACTTGTTAAGTGTGTCTTTGGCTCTTTTTTTGCAAATTAGACAAACAATAACCCTTTTTCTCTCTCTCTCTCTCTCTCTCTCTCTCTCTCTCTCCAACTTTAATTGTTCTCTCGCGTCAAACACTTCTCCAAGAGACACACAAAAAACACACATGAGAAAACCTCAAACAAGAGGGGAAACCGAACAGTGGAACTTATGCACAATTGAACTCGGGAAGTGTGCAAAAAAGTTTGCGCAATTACAGCTATTCTATTGAGAGAGAGAGAGAGAAAATAACACAGCGCAAGCATGGAGAATATTCTGGAGAGTTTCTTTGAAGATTAAGTAATTTGCGTGATCTCTGCAGAATATTTACTTCTTCGCTAGAAATGCCATATAAGGAAAAAGAGACTGTCTTAATAGGAATTCCACGTCTTTTTCCCGCATTCTTTGTCGATAGAATTTGAGAAATCGCTCAAAAATATCTTCAGCAAAATCAACCACAGTTGATTCTCACATAATCAACTTGTTCTTGTAATTTCCTGAGACAAAAAGATCATAGAGCTCGTTAAGTTCCGAAATAACTGCCTTTCAGGTGAAATTGCAAAGACAGAAAATGAGAAGAGGAAGTTGAAAACATCCGAATGGCAAACAAGAAAATATATATAGTGGAAAGAGACAATTGAATTGGAACCACACATTGCATCAAATGCCCTTCTTCCCAAGTTCCCTCAACTGCGACCAAGAAGTCAAAGACACTTACGATATGTGCTAAAGCCAACAGAGTGAGAGAGAGAGAAGAATTTCGAGGCATCATCATGATCACAAGTCTCATTGAAACAATACGAGAGATTGTTGAATTCTATTAACACACAGTCGCTATTGCACACAATCAGGCCTCTTTAACATCCACCCAACGAGAGAGAGTAACGCGCGGCGTTCCATCCATCCATCCAACTGGACTGCGCGCTAATTTGAACTGACGACTCTCGAGGTCAATTATGAACATCCTGTGTTTAGATCAAACCCAGCCCACAGACAATTTCCATCGATCGAGCAACTCTCCTCGCTCTGCCTCTTTCTCGCTCTTCGATTTTCCATCATTCTCCGCGCGACAGGCTGCCAAAATCAAATAGCCACACTGTGTCGGAAAAGCCTCAAGCACAGAGTCTGCTTGTGATTCCCGAAGGGGTTGCTAATTGTAGATCTTGAGTGACACAGAAACCAATGATAATGAGTGACTCAAGTGAGGAAGAAGAGATCCTTCAGCTGTAAATTGTGTGCAGAAGGCAAAAACTGCTGATTTACTAAAGAAAAACTGCCAATTCTTGAGCAACTACTGGATTTTTTTGTACTCTTTTAAGACATTAAAGCCAAGATTTTCGTATGAGCAAAAATCTGTGAAGCTCTTCCACTTCTTCAAACGTTTTCAAAGTAAAACCCTAAATATCCGATTGAAGATTAGGATTAAAGATCTGTTTCTTGTTCTCTAGAACAACCGCGTTTTGACACTGCATTTTCAATATTCGCAACCCCTTTTGTGTATGTTCCCAAGGTGTCGATGAAGCCGCCAAACGTTAGAGGAAAAACGAGAACCACTCGAGAATTTCCCCCCCCACTTGTGTGTGTGTGTGTTTAGGCCTGATAAGAAATTACCCACAAAAGTACAAGATAATAAATGTGTATTTAATTTATCATAGACCGCGAAAAAAATTACAATTTTTGTCGCTCATTAAGATATGTTTTCCTCCTTCACCAAAAGCCACTGCCGAAGCGCGATAAAGCGCACGATTTACTCGCTTAAACACACAGTCAAATTTTTAATACTTTTTGTGGTTTTTGATTTGACCGTTTGGGCGTCATTTTGATGATTTCCCCTGAGAAACACACACACAAGACGTGATGAAGAAGAATGAACTGAGGAAAGGCACTTTGGCGACAAATTTACGATGTTTATTTTCCTCCTACGTGCCCTGCTCGCCACGGTATTTCACCAATTTTTCATTCTCCGCCATCATTCAGCATTTAAATAAACAAACAGAGAAAGGTTGAAGCACTTGAATTGCCAAAGAAGGCTCGAGCTGTGATTGATTTCTTGACAACCTCAACTCGTCTCTTCTTCACTTCAATTTCCTTACAGTCAATAAATTTGAATGTCAATTAAAAGCGGATTTTTTCACCATCATCATCGTCGTCGACAGTCTGGCAAACGTGATTCGAAGGCATTATTAACCTTTTCATCATAGAAGAAAAGTGTTCTCAGACCATTGAAAAGGTCAAAAGCACAGGATCAATTTTGCGAGTAGAATAAACGAGTGTGCAAAACAGTCAAGAAAGCCGCTAAAGTGTGAACATCGAGTTAAATTACAAACTTTTCTGTGTCTTGAGTGTGTACAGAAAAGAAAAGAAAAGAGCATAACAATTATAATTTAAAATTGCTTCCACAAATCGAGCGCGCGCGCGGCTCTTTTAGCACCGCAACAGTTTCTCACTCAATTTCTTACTCCATCAACGTCGTCGCTAAGACAAGACAAGAAAAAGCGCCCCTCAGATTGGTGTCTGAATAATTTTTATATCTTCACTTTTCCTTGCGCGCCTTGTTTTATATCCCAACACAATCTGACCAGAGTATGGATTTGACCCACAATCTCTTCAGCGACACAAACACAAGAGCAACATAAGCGCAAAAGTAAGAGTTTTTCGACTCGTCAACATTATGCAAATGACTTTTGGTCATAATCTTGGTCAATTCACATTCGTGATACAGTGCTATGATGTTATAACTCGCATGAGATCATCAGCATCACTTGAATATCTCGTTCTGTTTTTATATTCACTGTTTCTCTCTCTTTATATTCAGTCACTGGGGTATTATGTCTCGAAGTTAATTAATTGGAAACCGCATCGTGTCAAGATGATTCTTAATTTATTCTCCAACGACAAAATGCCAC